CATTTTTATGTGGCAGCCTGGATGGGAAAGGAGTTTGGGAGAGAATGGATCCGTGTATATGTATGGCTGAGTCACCGTGCTCTTCACCTGAAACTGTCACAGCACTGTTAACTGGCTATGTGTGTGCTAAGCCACCTCAGTTTGTGTCGCCTCTTTGCGATCCTGTGGACTGTAGCTTGCTAGGCTCCTCTGTCCATGGGATTCTCCAGGCAAGAATACTGGAGTGGGTTGCCATGCCCTCCTCCAGGGGATCTTCCCAACCCAGGGGTCAAATCTGCATTTTCTGCACCATCAGGCGGGTTCTTTACTATTAGTGTTACCTGGGAGGTCCAGGTTAGACACGGTGATATGGAAAATTACTCTTGGGAGGTTACACCTCATTTGAGAACACAGAATCATAGGAAGTGAGCATGTGAAGGATCAGGAGAAAAGCAAATAAGGCAAGGAGAGTGAAAGTATCAAGGCCCTGGTGCAAATGATCATTTGTCATCTTCAAGAAATGAAAACAAGACCATGGTAATGAATTTGAGATTTACTCTAAGTGCAGTACAAGGTGTAATGCAGGAAAGTGGAATGATCTCATTTACAAGTTTAAAAGATTACTCTGGCTGTTTTATGATGAATGGTGAGGGAAGAGCTAGAGAAGATGCACAGAGAGCAGGTATAAGCGGATGGGTAGAAACAGTACATCTTGATTTCCTCCAGGCAAAGGTCCTCATCACTCTAAGAACAAGTAGGAGAAACTGGGGTTCAAGTGTAGTATGTTCGGGTAAATTTGTAGCTAACTGAACAAGAGGATATGAAGGATATTGATTTATACATTTAATCTCATTTTAGTGGACATTCTCAACCGGCAGGCTGCCCTGTCCAGGTCAACATTGTTTATCAATGATTTGAATGGACACATGCTTATCACATTTTCTGCTACACTGCACGAGAAGGATAATCAATATGTCAGATTAAAAACAAAAAAGATTTAAAACTATTTCAACTGTGATGGAATGAAGGGTCACTACTCAGAAGGTGAATATAATAGAAGTAAATATAATATTCTGGATGTAGGGAAAAAGATAACATGATTGGGGAGCTCTGGATTAATAGCCATTCATGAAAAATCAATGCTCTGTTTTTACATGAAATAAAGTTGAAATATGAGGTTAGAGTTTTAAAAATAAAAACAAAAACAATGAGTATCATTGTCAGTCCCATTTGCCAAAAGAGACGTTCATTTCATAGGATACTACTGTTCCCACTGTCCTTTGCAAAGGTCAAGATACATGCATAGAATTAAGTACATTTCTAAAGGATCAGTCAGTCAGTCAGTCAGTTCAGTCGCTTAGTTGTGTCTGACTCTTTGCGACCCCATGAATCGCAGCACGCCAGGCCTTCCTGTCCATCACAAACTCCCGGAGCTTACTCAAACTCATGTCCATCGAGTCAGTGACGCCATCCAGCCATCTCATCCTCTGTCACCCCCTTCTCCTCCTGCCCCCAATCCCTCCCACCATCAGGGTCTTTTCCAATGAGTCAACTCTTCACCTGAGGTGGCCAAAGTACTGGAGTTTCATCTTCAGCACCAGTCCTTCCAGTGAACACCCAGGACTGATCTCCTTCAGGATGGACTGGTTGGATCTCTCAAGAGTCTTCTCCAACACCACAGTTCAAAAGCATCAATTCTTTGGTGCTCAGCTTTCTTTATAGTCCAACTCTCACATCCATACATGACTAC